ACATTACCGGAGAGCATTAAATTAACCAAAACCGTTAGCTCCTTCAGAAGAGACTCACCGGCTTCCCCGACGTCTGGCCCCGTCAAATCCTTAAGATGTTGAGGAGTCAGACCATCAAGTCCACCAGCAGAGCCACTGCGGAAGGAGCCAACGGCTGCGGCTAGTTGCTGGACAGTTGCGGTGAAAGTATGAATTGGTTCAGGAGGATCGGGAAAAGTGAGGTCAGCCCTAGCAGGCGGGTGTTTACTCTTCAGAGCTTCAAAAGTTTCTGAAGAGTAGGGAGCAACCACGTCACTACTGAATAAAAGCCTGGCGGCTCCGCTTATATCACCTTCACCTAATTTGGATTCTACGTAGTCAAAACGAGTTTTTTTAATATTATTAAAGGAGTTAGGAAATTTTGGGTCTAAAATGGGGTTCAAAATACTACAATTACTTTTAATTTGTGAGGTTAAGTTTTTTTTAACAGCCAAATTTTTTTTCACGTGTAGAATCCTGTAGGGGAAGGTGAGTAACTGCTCCCAAGCCGAGAAAGAGTTCTCCCGAGTTGCAAGACGAATGCAATTTCCTAAATTAAGAGCCACGGACCGTCTTGCACCACGAGGAACTCTTTTTAAAACAGGTGTTGAATTTTTGAATTTGGATAAAGTTTCCCATAAAGGCTGATTTGAAACCGGAAAAGAATTTTGTAGAGGAGTAGTGTTAGAGGGGGATAAGGATACACTATGAGATTTGTGGATTTTTCCATAATGTATTCTTAACCCGCGTTCTCCTTTAAAAAATCGAGGCTGAGAGCACAAAGAACATCTTACCAGGCTCTCTAGAGGTTGATGGGCACATTGAGGAGCACTTCCAGACTCAACGGCTGCATCACATGAATGCATGTAGGTCGAAAGCCTTCAAAAATGTATCAAAAAGTCTAAAATTAAACTAATTAAACAATAATGATTAATAATTAAACTTATAAAAAGAAAAAATGGTCAAGGACGCTGGGCTGCCGCGCTGTCGCGCAGCGCCGCGCTGTCGCGGTGTTCCGCGCCTCCACGCCGTCCATATCTTAAGAAAGACTGTTCGCCCAAGCGGCAATGTTGGAAGAAATGCTCGGAGACGGTTAGAATCGTTTTTCGACAATGAGTCAAATTTGTCAGCACGTCGAAGCAGATAGAAGTCAACGCATAGAAAGATTTAAAGTATGCAGCAGACAGGCCACTTGTATTTCGCCTTTAAATTCATTTTTATAAACACAATCACGTCTCGATGAAAATAATACACACTTTCGAGTACAAATTTAACAATAATTCACTTTTTATTTAAAAATTTAAATATCTTGTTGACTTTGGCTGTCAATTTCTGCCAATATGCCACATAAGCCTAATAAGAGGTGTCAATGCAGACCATAGATACATCTATGATGCACAGTGATGATGCACGTATTAGAGACTCGGTTGCCAAACAGGAATAAAAGAGGAATAAATAAATGACAAATATTTTTTATTAGATTCTTCGACAACGTGGATGTCAAGTGTTAATTAACCAGTATGGAACGGAACTGTAGTTTCACCCAAGTATCAACAATTTCACAAAATTGTAGGAGTATATATGCATCAAACATCAAAAATTAATACTTTCAATCAAATTCAAAGTTAAAAGGTTTGAGTATGACACTTTTGAAAATAAACTAACAATTATTAAAAAAATAATAGATATGGATAATAACATCCTAACAAAACAATAAAGTGATTAAAAAAGTTTCGTTCAAGCAACACCCACCCAACACAAATATTCAAAATTGTTTTTCTATTGCGCCAGTTAATATAATTATAGCAAATACGCAACGCTAAGATTCGTTGCCCCACCACTTATTTAAATAAGGGCAGAATGTAAATATAAAATCATAATATATTTACGGTAACTACACGTACCAGACAATATTCACTTATCTATTGAAAATAAGTAAGTTACCAAAAATTTCAAAACCCAAGTTTGATCCCTAGTCTTCGCTTCCAAAGTCTTTTTGATATCTCAGTGCTCTCAGCTATCATTTACCACCGATCCACTTCCACCACACGTCTTCACTCTACACAACATACTCACTATACAGGCCTATCTTACTCCCAATGCAAAAGCTCCCTAATTGATTATTTTTAAATGCAGCTGATATACCTAATATGGAACATTATTTATTTATTTATTTATTTATTAACACTTCTGTATATAACATACGATGGCGGACTTAATGCCGGGTGGCATTCTCTAACAGTCAACCATGGGGTGATGCAGAGATGTGCAACAGTAGGTGTAATAGGTATAATGGTTTATGTGAAGCATAACTGTAAATACATACATATATCCGTATATATAGGTATAATGTAAATTACATAAGATACATTATCAATATTACTAAATAACAATACTATAAAAGTGAATAAATAAATTGGGAATAAAA